TGCTCCCCTGGCTGAGTGAACACTTAACAAATCACTTCACCCACTGGCCACTGATAAGCCACTACCGCAGCTTTTCAAATTCAGTAGAATTCAGTAGAAAAAGCAGAAGCTTAGCAGCTAAGCCATGAACCAAAAAACTTTATGGGCAAAAGGTCAATACTCCACATTCTGACCACAGCCATCTTGATTAAGTAGCTGTCTGGCCTTGCCATTCTGACTTTGCAACCCAATCCACCACATGAAGATACGACGTAAATTTAGATAATCTTAAGCCAATATTCATCCGTGCTCGGCTGGTCATATGAATACTGTACATCTCTTGCAAGATTCCGGCCTCTCCTCTTTGTTACCTATGTTCTCAGCTTTCACTGAGCCGATTTTGCAGCTTTAAATTTTCACAGAATCCTTTCAAAGCGTAGAGTAAAACAAAGCTAGTGGTTTTTTTACTCTTCACAAGTAGGATAAGCCCAGTGGTCACTCAATGGCTTGTGCCATGGATGCGATCGGGCTAACATGCGCTTGTCAGTCACCACGGGGAAATCAGGGTTTAACAAGAAACAGCTTTGGCTTAGCCTCTGCGATTCTTGTGGACCACATACCGAGTGAACGAATGATTCGGTTAGTTTTAGAATAAATGAAAACTAGCAGCCGAGGCACAAGCGCAAAAAACATTAACGGCGAAAGGTCAACATTTAAAGAACAGGGCATCAGAAATTAGTCTGATGGACCTCCACTCATAAGAAAAAGTGCAAACTGCTAACGTAATATATAATGCCAGTAAACGTCCGCTTGTTGACTAGTCAACAAACTAAATGCAGGAACAGGAAAAATTTCAGCTGATACAAACGCAAGTTGACCCAGAGCATTCCCTGTCACCAGTTAAATCTAATAAACTGAAGGCGATCTGTTGTCTTATACTCGTACTAAAATTAACTGGTTTCAAACAAATTCATAACTGCTGTTGAATAACTACTGCTTCCACGAATACAGTCATAACTGGCAACTGCTAACTATGAAATCATAACTACTGTGTCCTCGAACACACTGCAACTTTTGAATTTTAAACTAGTGTATTTGCCTAGTCGTAAGCCAATATTCATCCGTGCTCAGCTTGTTAACTACATCCGTAACAACCGTGACGGGATAGGCTAATGTTCCTATGTTTGACCGAACGGGAAGGCCGATTTTGACGCGGTCAAGTGCGCCAGAATCGTCGCAGCCACGCGAGTAATCTTGCACTATTGCCGACCTGGTGCGCCTCAAGGGGGAAACCGGAGCCTCAAAAGACAAATTGTTGCCATGGGCCTGCACGTCTCGGCTTCGGACCTCGCTCCAAACACAGTACTATTTAGTACAATAGGTATTGCAGATTATTGTGAACAATTTTAAATAATCTTCTCAGTGACGTAAAGCACACTACCGGCCTCGGCACGGACAGAAACGAAAATGAATCGCCGAAATACGAAAGCAAAAGCCGTGACAGCCTTTGCTAAGAAAATTCTGTTTGGACGAACGGGTAGGCCGATTTTGACGCGGTAAAGTGCGCCAGAATCGTCACAACGAAGCGGGTGATGTTCCGCTGTTGCCGACCCGATGCGCCCCCCAAAAGGGAAGGAGTCGCCCCCAATAACAAATTGTTGCCATGGGCCCCCATAGACAAAAATGGGTAAATGCTTTGTCTGTTCGCGGACCGTTCGGAAAAACCGAGACAGAACGCGGCCTTCGGCATCGGCACGTTACAAAGTATTGAAAATTTAAGAAACATGTGCAAAAAGTAATTGCAGTCAATCCCACCACCGTGATCGGTATACCTCGTATTCTTTCATATACGATATTTCTTAGATATCTTAGGTTTCTTAGGCTTCTTAATTTCTTAGGTTTCTTAGGTATTCTCAGGTTTCTTAGGTATTCTTAGGTATTCTTAGGTATTCTTAGGTATTCTTAGGTTTCTTAGGTTTCTTAAGTTTCTTAGGTTTTCTTAGGTATTCTCGGGTTTTTTAGGTGTTCTTAGGTAATCTTAGGTTTTTCAGGTTCCTTAGGTTTCTTAGGTTTCTTAGATTTCTTGGGTTTCTTAGTTTTCTTAGGTTTCTTAGGCTTTCTTAGGGTTTCTGACGTTTTCTTAGATTTTCTCTTTCTTAAATTTCGCAGTTTTCTTAGCGGCTGGGACCAATGCGATCAACCGTTGCGAAGTGTGCATTTCGTAACAAACTTGCGCCGCAAAAGTTTGTGTACGGATGGAGATCCCGTAAACTGGTTATCTACATCCGTAACATCTTATACACGAGTATGCTTTGTTCCGAATGATTGGCCGAACGGCTGGGCCGATTTTCATGCAGAAAAGTGCGTTAGAATCGTCGCAAGGACGCCGGCAATGTTACGCTATTGCTTAATCGATGCGCCCCCACGGGGAAACAGAGGCCCCCAAAAAGAAATTGTTGCCATGGGCCCCCATAGACGGCCGTGGGCTATTCATTTGTATAGTCACAGCGACAGAGGCAGCCAGGAACTACTAACCAGCGCGATGTTTGGGCGAACGCATCGGCCGATTTTGACGCGGTAAATGTGTTGGAATCGTCGCAACGACGCGGATGTTTATACAGTATTCCCGCTGTGTTGCGCCTCCAAGGGAAAATAGGGAAAAACAAAATTGTTGCCATGGGCCTCCATAGAGGGACATAGGGTAAGGCTTTGCACAGTCTAAGCGACAATCGCGCACTTCGGCATCGGTTCGTTAAAAAATCACGAAAAAGGTGAAAAAATCACGAAGAAACGGAAAATGCGACCACACTTAACGAAAACATTCGTTAAAAAAAATGTTCAGGGAAAAATCGCGGCGCAGTACTAAGATTTCCGCGTTTTTAGGTTTCTTAGGTTACTTAGGTTTCTTAGATTTTTTCTTAGGTTTGTTCCTTAAGTTTGTTTGAGCGATCGAAAATCTTCTTGAACAACATTCACCGAAAAACATGCGCGCGAATGTAGATTTCCGTACACTGGTTAACTACAACCGTGACGGCGTAAGGTTAAAAAACCTATGTTTGGGAGAACGGCTAGGCCGATTTCGACGCGGTCAAGTGCGCCAGAATGCCGCAGTGACGCGGGGGATGTTGCTGGGTTGCCAGTTTGCTGCGCCTCGAGGGCAAAAAGGGGGTCGTAAACAAAAGTTGTTACCAAGGGCCTCCATAGACATACATGGTGAAGTTGTTTCCATGGCGTAAATTACACGACGCGCCTCGGCCACCGGCCTCGATGCGAATAAAAACGAAAATTAATCAGCAAAAGCCGACGTCGTCAAACCGGCTACGGATGTATTCCTCCGTAAATTGGTTATTTACATCCGTAACTCCGGAGTCCGTATACATGATTGACTATGCCCGCGATTATCGAGCGAACCGCTGGGCCGATTTCAACGCGGCCAAGTGCGTTAGAACCGTCGCAACGGCGCCAGGTTCATACGCTACTGCGGAATCGATAACCCAAAAGGGGAAGCAGGAACCCCAAAAGAACAAGCTGTTGCCATTGGCCCCCATAGACGAACATAGGCTAATGCGGAGCGCTCCGACAGAGGCAGACCGCGCCCTTCGTCATCGCTTTGATTACAATTTTTGAAAAACTGCGAAAAACGAGTCGAAATAAAATTAATCATCCTTAGGATCAACGTGATCTGTATTTTCTTAGGTTTCTTAGGGTTTCTTAGGTTTGTAAATTTTCTCAGATTTATTCATTTGAGATTCTTATTAGGTTTCTTAGGTTATCTCAGGATTTCTTAACTTTCTTAGGGTTTTCAGAATTTCTCTGAATATTATTATCAGATTCTTAGCTTTCCTAGGTTTTCTTAGGTTTTCTTAGGTTTACTTAGGTTCCTTAGAGTTTCTCACATTCTCATGTTTATTAGGTTTGCTTGGGTTTCAGAGGTTTTTAAGTTTTATGATATTTATTATATTTTTCAGTTTGTTTGAGCGGTCGGAATAAACCTACGTCGAAACTAGTGTACGCCACAAAATTTGGTGCGCATGTAAGTTCCGTAAACTGGTTAAGTGATTACTAATCATCTGTGCCAGGATTAGTAATACTACACTAAATTTTAACATTCTAGCGGAATTTGTTAAGACTGGTATGGGAAAAATCCAAAGGATCTTCATAAACAGCCTATATAAAATGGGCAGGTTTTCACGTCTGTCAAGGTTATCTCTGCAATTAATCGATTTAAAAAATTCGTCTCAGTGAACAAAGTTCAACTAAAGTCATTTTTAATGATGACGACCGCATGCTTTTTTCTTGCTCATACCGCTACCGTTTCATCCTCATTTGTGAATGCAAATCCAGATGTGGGAACACGTTCTCCAGAAGCAAAGGCGGCAGGTTACGAATGGAGTCTGACGGCGTCATTGCGTTCAGTTCGACATCTAAAATTAAAAACCAAATACGTAGCCTAACAAGCCGATATACAGGTCGCGTACGTAAAGTTGTAAAGTTGTCGGCATGCAATACGCGATGAATAATTCATTGCAAAAAATAATTGATTACAACTACAGAGTACATCTAGATCTAAGTAATTTTGTAAGGGAACTATAGAATTATCGACCAAAGCGAAGCGAAGGTTTTTTGTGTTCACGAAAACCGGAACTTTTGTCCGTCGGTCACGCACTTAGGTCAGACTCTAAGCTGTCGGTCACGCCCTAAGCTGTCGGTCACGCACTAAGCACTATCTCAACGTAACGGTGAACTGTAGCGCCTTAATAACCTTAGTAGCGTTACCAAATTATTGGTTTAGGTCAATGAGCATTTTATGGCATAAAAGTAACAGGTTGCCCAGTGACCGCTTAATTCCTTACCAGTAATGCCAGGATAGTGCCATATTCTTCAAAAATTGAGACTTACATCACTGCATAAGATAAAATCTGTACTATTTTAATAAATTTTTTGTTTTCCGGTAAGTATTACCAATTTTTGGTGAAAATCATGTAGTTTGTAAACTGGTAAAGTAAGTATGGGAGAACGTTCGGTGACGTCTACCTGCGCATATCAAAGATGCCGCCCATCGCGCACCTGAGATGCAGATCCTCTCTAACGCTAACCGCGGATATGCTGCATCGCATGGTTATCAGTTGGCAGATCATGTCCGGATTCAGTGCGAGCTGAAGTGAAGTCAGCTGCATCTGCTGAGCATTGAACGGCATACTTTTTAGTTCTTTTTCATCAACCAAAGAAATTTCAATTCATGGATTTCAACACTCAAAAACTATTGAAAATAATAATAATCCGTCAGCGCTCTATGTAGATTAAAATTACAGTGAATAAAAACCTTTTTTTTACGCCAACGTATCTGCCGTACAGCTAGGCAGGCCAGCGCTCAAGTTGGTAAGAAAGATCGGTATCTGAGATGCGAGTGGACGGCATCTTTGATATGCGCGAGTAGACGTCACCGAACGTTATTCCCATACTTACTTTACATGACCTTACAAAAAATTGGTAATACTTGCCGGAAAACAAAAAATTTATTAAAATAGTACAGATTTTATCCTATGCAGTGATGTAAGTGTAAGTGACAGTAAGTCCCAATTTTTGAGGAACACGGCACTATCTTAGTAAGGCACTACAGCTTATTAATTTATTTAGCAGTAATATTTAGCAGGCATAATAATCTTAGGTACTAAGATGATCACTATTGCAAATAATTGGTATCTTGGCAGCTTTCCGAGAGCAAAGATAAAAGTTGCATTGCGTTGCACCCAGTACATAGTAACCATGGATTGCGTTGCACCAATACATAGTAACTATGGTACTTAAAGATAATGTAACTATGGTACTCGTACTTAAAGCCTTTTAGCACGTCTGCTTAGGAAATATCCTAGGCAGACGTGCTAGAAGTCACGACGTGCACCCATAGAAAACGCACCCCACGGTGGACGAGAGTTGTCTTCCCCCAACAAAAGAGGAAAGGCATCTCTGGTTTGCGGCAACGAACGTACCGACCACGCGTTGCTAGCTACAGACCGCGTGAGCAAATCACGATCCCCAGACCACGGAAGCAAAGATCTGATACCACCTTAGATCTGATACCACCTCAGAATTTTGCAAGTGTATGAAAACGAATCTCCCCACACACGGTCTCACTTGGTCTTACCTCATGAAACCGGGATGACGGGCAGTCTGACATAACTTGGGGCCCAAGGCACAACGCTGCAGCGAGTACGTTTCTCGCTGCCGCGAGTACGTTTCTCGCTGCCGCGAGTACGTTTATCGCTGCTGCGGCGCGAGAAACGTAAGCCGGTTTATACCAGAGAGTCTGTCCTGCAGAGTGGGATTACAAAAGTCCCTTACTGCCGCCGGCAGATCAGGATCGCACGCGGAAACACTAGTCCTTAGGCCAACAGATGCCACGGTAACACACCGTAATCGAACTTTGATCCGGCCCAGAGCATGTGAGCATGCGAGGCACACGACCCGCACTCCCACAAAACTCGGATCAACGCCCAAAGGCTTGAAACGGAAAGCTCCGCATGGTCAACCCACCTAAGTCGGAGAACGGCTTCCCAACTGACGAAATCAACTTTGGCCGACTAACGGATACTTGCCAGAGCCCCACTTGGGCCGTTGACAGCAGGTAGTTGACAACCGCACATCAACAACGGACAACAGGTGGGTGATGACCGACCATGGGTCGGCAATCACCGGCTATCAGCCGGAGGAAGGACTCAACATTTGAGGAGCCACCGGAAAGATCACCGTCCAATTGATGGAATCGAACGAATCGGTTTTATTCGAGTCCCATATGGGCTTACAACATCGTAAGGATCCGGACAGATCTTTGATATTTTTGCATTTTTCCTAACAAAATGGAATTCTATGTTTCTATTTAAATCTCTTAACAGATCTGTTTTCTAACCCTTTTACTCACTGGAATCGTGATTAAACTTTGTTTCACTCTTTTCTCACTGCATTACTCATTCATCTCATTACGGTTTTTACTGTTCTCCGTGGCCAACAGAAGAAGATGCCAGCCAACAGAGAGCCGACAGAAGCATTACCGGCCCAACAAAATGCCCGACCGACTTCCGGATTTTTTGCCGTGAGCTGCTTGTCTCTCATGGATCCCGAAGGTGAACGATGGGACGGTCAACCGGACACCGGACTCCCACTGCTAGAGGACGCGTGCCGTCGACCCCACTTGGGTCCGACCGGAGAGGTTTGCGGTACTGTTGCGGTACCGAGTCGGATCATACTTCGCGTACCGAGTCGGAGCTTCCTTCGGATTCTCGCCAAGAGGCATGTGAAGCGTACGAGCTTGCATGACGTGCCCGTTGTACTTGGCGTACTTTCATTCACAAACATGCTGTACTGCCTCTATCATGCTGTACTGCCTCTGTCGAGTACGTAGTCTGCGCATAGCATTACGTACGAACTGGCCTGCACGATGTGGCCGCCAGACTTTTCTTTCGCTGAACTTGCTATGCGCTTAAGAAATGTCTAGCGTTCACGAAATTTTCCATTAATTTTGGCCAGACTGGCTTCTTTGTGCTCTTTCCGCATATCGCGCGGTATTTGTTCAGCCTTTATCCTATATATTAATAAAATAAGCCTTAGCGAATTCCATTTCTGTCTCCCTTTTTTGAGCGAGCCACTGAACCAAACTTTGATGTCTATATGTCATTCAATCGCCGCGAGTTTGCAGATTTGCAGAAACCAGTCAGTTTTTGGAAAGTATGTAAAGTTTCAGAGAAAATCTTAAAAGAGCTTACTATACAAAGTCTACGGGAAAAGTGGAGAACCCACCACTGCAAACTCACCCACGCCACCATTGATCACGAACAGCACAGGAAAAGCATCCATCTACACTTGATGGAACTTTGGTGTCCATAAGTTATCCGATTGCCTTTAGTTGAAATTAGTTCATAAGATTTTTATTTAGAGTTAGTTTTCAAAAAAATGTAAGCCTTGAAACTTGAAAGTGATGTTTCTTAAAGGCTGAACATGCGAAATCTCCTGGAAAGTGGGAACGACTCAAATTCAAAAGATAAAGTAGTTGCCTTTAGCAGCGGGTTGACCAGATGTAATAATGAAACTGCTTCCCCAGGGCGGTTGGCTCTGGTAATATCGTGCTGACGTACCAATAAACTTTCTTTTGGAAATCACCAATAAACATTATTTTGTGAGAGACTGAAAGTCGATTTTGGGAATTTTGGTGTTCGACTGGAAATGATGTGGACAGCTTGAGTAAAACAACGAGTCCCAGTCCCGCCGGGCGTATGGACTAGGATTCGAGTCTAACCACCGCCCGGGTGAGAAGACGGCCCAATGCCGCAAATCTTTTCCAGTGATTGAAGTGAGAAGCTGTCCGCAGGGGGAGCGAGGGGATTTTCCGAAGCAATATAAGGAAGGTAGAAAAAACGGTTTTATGAAAACAAAAAACGCATTTTTGGCATTTAAAAATTTAAAACAAATAGAAGATTCAAAACGAAACTTATCCGTTTTCTAATCTATCTTTCCGCCAACTATAACGCAATCCGTCAGATCATTTACTGAACCACTGCACCAAACTCCCATCAAAGGTCAAAACTAAAAAACACGGGGAATACCCTCTCCGGTGCGCCTGGGTGCGACGAGCTACATTAAATGAACCATCTGTGCGGACGTACGCGTGAATCGACATGGGCTAAATGGGTTGGGGATGTTGTGGTGGGATTAATACTAGGCGATTAGATTTTTGTCAAACTTGAAACAAATTTATAAGCACGTAACAGAAAGCGGAAGCATAGGCGACGCTTATCTGCAGCGGAGGTCGCAAGCAATACACTGCGCTAAAGTTGTCGACGTTAATTAATGGTAAAAAATTCACCAAAAAATACAATGAAATTTTGAAGTCTTCATCAGGTTTAAATTGTTTTGTGTGTAACCAGTAGGAGGAAATTGGACAATGGAAAGTATTTTCATTCTAAGTGGTGTAAAGGTCAACATCGGTGGTCGTACCGTCGTATCACTGGATTGTTTTGTCGGTCACAACGCACTGACAAAAATTTAACGAAGCTCCGAATCGTATCTAAATCAGTAAAATTGCTGTAATACGGCTACAAAATTCCAGTACCAAATTAGGGAAGTTTTCTTATTTATAGTTGTTGACAACTGACCGGCATATGCTGCTGATTGATTTGGTAGAAGCTTAAAAACTGGGCATATTCCTGGAAATTTTCAAATTTTTCGGATCTAATTTAAGGTTAAATCTGAAGTCAGCGGAACGCGACAATGTTTTCTCAAAATGGCCTTAAACATTTAATTATGTAGTAAACCATGTGATACATTTTAACTACTAATCTGTCAGTGAACTATGGCCAAAATAAAGAATAACTTACGATATATAAGTTATGATAAGCACTCAACCAAATAGGTATTTGGCAAATACTGTCTG